TAAATAAAAAAGAAAAACCTCTTAAGAAGTGAAGTGCATGGGTTTCGGCTTTCCCAAGGTTTTGGCCGATTTTACCTGTAATCTCCCGTATCGGTTAATTGCCTGACAGTAATTGGATAAGGCGTTTGACCATGAGCTTTGAGCAGCTCTTGCAAACGAACTATACCATCGTTGCTTTCATAAATTATTGTAAATGTCCTCCAGCCCCAATATTTTACTATATCCACGTAAGCCTGAAAGTGTAGTTTTAGATGCGCAATCTTTAATCAGTGCATTCCCAGGCTACTACGAGCCATTACCTTTGATAGAATGTTTGGGTGGGGATATAAATTCACTAAGCAGCTTTCTCTCCTTAATCGATACTCCCAACGATTTTCTAAATGTGGAATCTGCAATGCAAGGGTGAAAGAAGAAAAAAAAGTTCCTTTGTAAACTCGATTTCTCGCTTAACCTCACCTCCATATTATCGCATATACTTTGCACGTGACTAGCTGTATGTGATGATTGTGGCCCAAAAATGGCAGCAACACCAACATTTAATAGGCCACAAACTGAAAAAAAAATTTTAAATTGTTTTATCAAACTTTAATACGTAGTAAAAATTGAAATATTTGCTTAGTTTATTTGTTCTCTAACGTCATTGTATCGTATATGTGTGTATATGTGATGTGGCTTATATTTAAAGATGCGGATTTAGTAGATAACTCTCGATTAATTGTCATGACATTTTCATTTCGTATTTTCCAATAAAAAATAATACACTTGTCCGTACAAGTGCATTATTTATCTTTGCTAGAAATTATCCATGTCTTGTGGCACTCTGTTGTTGTTTGATAGACACAAGTTAAACAAGTATAATATCTATCATCAATTTGAAGCGAATCTTGGATACCTACAACCTTACAGATAAACGAAGATTAAAAACTTTTAAAAAATATTAAATAAAAGGACTCTTTTTATGAGGACCCTTGGCATGTTCTAACCGATCGATTTTTTGTTATATCTCACAATTATTACGAAATCTTCGCTTGTTTTCGGAGCTACTGCACTATTTTACTTGTTACAGCCTGGCCCAGCATCAGGCAGACTTTCGAGTTCGAGATCTGTCAAATCGATTTAAGGTAAGCTTTGTTTTGCCAAATATTGTGTTGGAATATGAAAAAGAAACAATTACAGAAACAATTGAGTTTGATCAAATTGACGGACTTTTCTTCAAGATTTCTTCGTATATCGATTTTTAGAAATGCAATTAAGCAATTCTAGTAATACAGCTAAGATATGGACAGACAAGCGGATGCGATTAAATTCCGCATAAGATCTCTCTATGGGATTCCAATCAAATGAGTAACTAATTATATCTTCATCGTTTAGCATACTGTGTAAATACATTGCATCCAACACATAGGTATAGAACATACACACATGAACTTAAGCATTATTCCTGGTGTTTCATATAAGCTCATCCGACGTTATACCAAAACATAAGCAGAAATACGATGATGATACAGGTGATTATCTGCTTGCCATACTAAATGAGAACATGACAATTCTAGTATTTCGCAAATGAACAACAAGTACTCGACTTGTAGTTTTTATTTGCGACTGATTTATGCGGAATGTACGAATACATAATATTTTCATATCCATTATGCTTACAGGACGGATGGATGCATATGCATGTACAGTTAGCTGTACATTTGTAGATAGAATTCCTAACGCCACTGACTGTGTGCATTACTGACGTACTGACGTAGAAATACCACTTAAGAGTGTATTTTTTTGCTTTCTACGTTTAGCTTGTTTGCTTGTTTCTACGAATACATACATAAGTTTTTTTCTTTGACAATTTTTCATTTATCCATCGGCGTAGGCGTTATATTAATTTCATCATTTCGTTAGTAACCTTTAGGAATCCACCTTAAAACTCGCTTGAGATTCTCTACTTGAACTGTTCGTTCATCCGTCAGTGTAGATCTTTTTTTATCAGGTACGTATTGCCATGGAAAAGCGTAAATGTTCATTAGTATTAGTAAGTATAATTTCAGATTGATTTGTGCTGGATGTGAAGCATGTGCAACATCTAGCATCCTTTTAGGGTATACGAATTTCGTTTCGAGGCGAATAAAGCTTCGTTTTTTTCTTTCTAAAATTTTTTTTTTTATTTTGGATAGAATTTGACTTAAAATAAAATAGAATTCGAAAATAAATTTTTGGGCTTTCGTTTGCAGGAGAAGATTAGCATAAGGCAATTGTTTTTGAAGACATTATAAGCAGTGGAATTAAAGAGAATTTAACTATTTCTGTTTTACTCAAAATTTAGCAGGAAGGATTACTGCGGCTTACATAGCATAATAATGAAATTAAAACTACCGAAATTTTCGTTAAGCGGTATACATGTATGCAAACACACTTGATGCTATAAAAAGTGATATGTATTACTTACTGTATATGAGCATGCCTAAGCATTCTAAAGCAAGATGACTTCAAAAGCCATTTTCAGCTTAGATATATTTTGTAATATTTATCTGGTAATTGAAAAGAAAAGTAAATAAGTAACGAAGAATGTCTTGCAATCTTTAGAAGGTAAATAAGAACGGAATTGGGGCATCACTTCACTGCAATCAAGGATGCGTAATAAATTAGGTAAACTAAATTTGAAATTCTTCATGGGATATAAGAAAATCCTAAGTGGCAGAGTTAGTAAAAAAGGAAGATTTGCGTTATGTTGAAGGCAGAAGTACTATCATCTTGCGGGCAATGGAGATCCGCCGTGGAAAGATTAAAAAACTTAAAGGCATTCACGGAAACCTGGAAAGTATTACAAACTTTTCAATGGGGTGAGTTTTGATAGTTAATATATTTGATAATTATATGGTTTGGAGATGTGGAGACGTGAACGTTTTTATTTATACGAAGATGAAAAAATCTAACAGCTATGGCAAATATGGATAATATTCAATTGAAACCGGGTTTGTGAAATGGGTATAAAATAAATATATTAATCTAACAATTGAAAGTCTTGTCGCTATTCCAAGAACTTGGGTTTTACGCATAAAGGTTTGGATTTGCGTCCTCTTTAAGTTCAATAAGATGCTAAACACTATTAATCGAAAGAAGTGAATCACTACTACAAAGACCGACTACAATTTGCTTAAGGTATTTTTCCGTTCAAACAGAATCTTGTCAATCTTCTCATCAGTATGGGCCTTGGTACAACATTTCCGCAGAGTATGTTGTACTTTTATGTTCAAGAGATTTCAGTCAGAGAAATGCACAACATGAGCTACCTTGCCCATAAAAATCCACTATGTTTAGTACGATAAACATATTTAGATTTCTTCTGATTGTTTTTCAAAAGCCGAAAATTTCATACCCACTACTAACCTTTTAGGGTGAAATTATTATGCATTGGATTATTTTTAAAAAAAATTTAATTCATTCGGTTTTCTGATAATCGAAATATGTCTTTTGCCGATTTGAAAGCGAATAGTCATCGCACATGTTCCACTGCTGTGAACTGTTGCTCTAGTGCCTCTTTAACTGTATCGATCTGAATAAGAGGTAATCGGAATGAGCTAAGCTCGGCGCGGGAAAACCTGCCAACATACTAAAATTAGAATACCAAGTAACGGCGCAAATGCTGCTTTGGATCTCGCCCCACGGCGTCTTCCTATAGAAGCCAATAATGGCACGACAGAGTTATCTCTATCTAAAAGTTTATGAAAATGAGTCGCGTCGGTTACGTTTTACGAAGCAACCAATTTCAGCGGAACGAATTTACTTAGGGGCAAACTAAACAAATTCGTTTTAAGGAAAAACATTCAGTGTGATTTTCATAAAGAACAAAAGTGATTTATGTTAGCCCCTCATAACAATCCTTCATGGACACATATGGATATGAAACAGAGTTTTAAGGAAGTTCCTATCACTTCACTACATAGACGCAATATTGTTTATCTCGAATATTTAAAAGACCTAAGCTTTGTATATATCACAAAAGTCGCGCCTTGCTTAATGTTAATCAAATATTATTTGTTTGTCGCACTGGAAAAGGATGAGATGTCATACGTTATAAACATTACTTTTCGGAATAATTTTCCGGATTTAATACCCTTTGTTTTATAACAATAGCAAATGATATTGCAGAGCTTTACGTGAATACATTGCTCTGGACTGCCAAGTTTGATATAAAGCCACAAAAAACAAGAAAACACACAAACAGTGTTGTTGGTGCGTAAATAAAAGCATAATGGGGGGCGTTTGTGAAATACTTATATGAAATTATTACGTTAATCATTCGACGCGATGGTCAGTCTATCGTTTCTTTAGAGAGGAAAAACGGCGTTAAATACATAACAATGGAGTGGGAAACGAGTAAGTAATCACACGCCTAGACACTTGTGACTATTTAATACGGTTGCTTAATAGAGAAGGAGAAGAGGAGGTTTTATTTAAAATATAATCTAAGATCACTTGCGCGTTAAAACCCACATTGACCGTTTAATGTATTCCTCCGGTATCAGAAAACTCTGAATGCACACTTAACAAAAGTTACGTTGTGTACATTTACGTCATATATTTTATATGTGTGTAAAAGCAAATAATGTCTAATAAGTGGGACGGGATATTTATTAGTGTCGTAATGTGTAATCCAAGCACTCTATGAATCGAAGTGAAAAGAATTTACATTGACCCGTATGATGGCCGAACATCCTTTAATTACATATATAATTATAAATTAAAATACCCTCCAGGTCGATAAGTGCATTAAACACAATTTGCAATGACCGCAAAGGCAGTAGAATATCGTGCGGGACATTGATCCCGATAATAAGTTCTGATGAAATTTTTGGCGATAAAAACGAAAACAAACGGTATCCTAAAAAGGCCTAAAAAAAAGCTAAGGAACTCAGTTTTCATATATGTAGTGAGCAAAGAAGACTCAGTCAGCAAAGGTGGTCTCACTTGTTATTGTGCGTGCGTTGTAGGCGTGCCCTTTTAAAAGTTTGGCTCATTTTCAAATTGTTTCGGCAATTTGTAGACGATATGTCCGTTTTTGCGCACAAGGACAGATGGACGGACGAACAGATGGAGATGCTTACGTGCTTTTCAAATTTGAAGCTACAGGTACTACAGATCTATTTGCTGCAGTTTGTGTGTAGTGAGCAAAAAACCAATAGTTGGATTCCTTTTGAATCTTTCCTTCGACCGGCTTGGCCCATACGCAATACCAAACCGCGTTCAAGAATTTCCAAAGTCTCTGCTAAATTTGAAGTCGATAGCTTTACTTTTCCACCCAAGAGAATGTTCGCAACAAACAGACGGAAAGGTGGACATGTTTAAATCGAATTAGAATTTGGTGCTAATCAAGAACTATTTATATTTTGTCATTCCTTATCGACTTCTTGCCTGCATAATTTTCCAACTGCGTACTTTGATAGAAGTTGAAGATCTCTTTGTGTGATTTGTAGTCATCATTTTCTACCCCATATAAGTAATTAGATGATTCTCGTAAATCTACCATAAACACATCTGTTGTTAGCATCAATACGTGTATTGAAGACATGCATACGGATTCAATGGTCGAAAATTTTAGATATCATTTAGTTGACTATTACTACATTTTTATTTGCTTGTACATAAAATACATATAATAATACACCAATAGAACATAATTCATATCCTAAAGGAGTTGTTATTATGAATGAAAAAAGAATGCTAAGGGCATTTCATGTACACATAGTCCATGCTAGCTCACAATATATAATCAGAGATAGCTATACTTTCACATATTATTGCAAGTAGTGAAATGAATGAATTATCCTTCTATGTGGGCATGCAATTGAAATGTTTTTGTGTTTATGACGGATGACATACCTCTTTTGCCGGCGTGAAAGCTGTCAAACGGTGAAATTCGTTCAATCTGCGCTACCAATTTTGAACGCGGCAAAATCATTCGGTCCTCGTTGATACGTTCAACAGCTTGGCGAAATGCCAACTCCTGATTGTCATCGGCGGGATGAAACAAACCACCTTTTTTTTTTTTTGTTTATTTATTTATTTTTTTGCATTAAACACGAAAAATAATGAAAAGGAAAATATCAACTATTTGAAAAGTTACTCAAGACATATCTTAAATAAATAAACAAACGAACAAACAAATGATACGCAATGACAGAGAAGATACCTTCTCGCCGTTTAACCCGCAGATGATAACAATTGTAAACATCAACTTTTTTCCCACTTATTTTCACGTAAAGTTTTAGTACAAAAATGTAAACAATTCATACAAACATAAATATATGAATAAGTTTACGCACACATACGAATGCAATCATTTGCCCATTAAAATGCAAAGTTAACCAAATAAAAAAAAAAAAAAAATCAATACATTTCACTACGGTATGTTTTAAAATATCTCCTGAACAGCATTCGTTGGAAAAGCAGGAAAAGTTAAAAAACGGGCAGAAAAGAAGAAACTCTTTCTTACCGATTTTTATTATATCCGGCAGGGCTTGTATTTGTGATAAACAATAACTTACTAATAAGTAAGTTAATAAACAAGTGCACATTTTTCTTTTTTTTTTCTTTTTTAATTTTTTTAATTAACTTTGATTTTATGAACAAATTGGGACTGATTTTGTGCACATTGAACCAATTGAATATTTGTTGATTTTAAACTCCTTTTTCATAAGTTGCTTTACATTTTGTTTTATCAAAAATTTCTTTTTTCTCTTTTTCTTATTTAATTAATGCGGCCTTCCGAGTTTTGATGCGTTTGGAAGCTGTTGATGTACTAAATCGAGAATACGTCTCGTATTTGGTTATGTATGCAATAAGCAAGCATTGAAGCATCATTTTTTTTTATTTGTGTGCCCATCCAGCACAACATATTCACAGATGAGTGTGTCAACAATTGTATTTGAACATAAAAAAATATCCCTGATTGGAATCTGTTTGCAAAGGAATTTTACGATTGCATTAAAGCTTTTCGTTGCGGTTCAAATCATAACTAATATGCATGTATGGATAGAAAGGATCTAAACCTTGGTTATAACGTTAAGAAACACGGAACATATTGCAATCGTCCAAACGCATTGACAGACTCTGTTAGAAAAAAACAGTCAAAACATTCCCTGCCACATGTACCGTTTTCAGTACACAGCTAAAATGAATGCATTTATACGTCAAAATCAATTTTTAAAATTCAGATATTGAAATGTAAAACTGAATTAACCATGCACCTTCAACGGAACACGCGATCTAACGACTGGTTGTTCTTTGCTTTGCAAACTTAAAGGGTGTGTTAGTTGGTTTTTTTTTTATTTTTTGCAAAAAAACAAATAAGAACACTATAGTGGCATATAGCTCGCCGTTAAGGACCCTACACTACTTTGCCTAAGGCGCTTATTCATATCACGACGAAAACAAGGCGCTTTCAATAGCGCTTGTCCTCGTCCTAAAACATACCGTTGTACCAGATTCCATTAAAAATATCTCGAAAATTGCGACTTTTAAGTTAAATTTAATAAAACAGGATAGATGGACCGACAGGCAGAAAAATGCATCTATGTCAAGCCCTTCTGAATAGTGCACAGACGGCAACACGTCCTTGTTTGGCTAAAAAGAAAGTTTTGTAAAATAATTCCTAATACCTACTGCTTTTTTCGAATGGACAACGAAGAATTACTGCCGTTATTAATCTTAGAGCAATGTTGACTATATAAAATTATAAGTCATAGTTCATGTGCATTGCGTATAATTGCACATACATAGTTTTTTTTCGTAAAGATAAAGTATTTTTTCAAAAGTTTGTAAGCTTGTAGGGAAAACGATACACACGCTATGGAAACAGAGTCTATTCATCCGTAGTAGGAAATGTTTGGAATGACAATAAACAAGAGCAGATGTTCCAGTTCGAAGAAGTATTTCAAGTAGAATTCCTATTCAAGACATATTTCTAATCCTAACAAACAACACTCAAATCTCATTTCGAATTCGATGGCCAATTGCGGTAGAAAGGTCCCCTCAGAAAATAAAATTTTGAGTGGCATCGGCTTTCGAATTTTTAAAACACAAATGTCGGTTGGAAAAAAGTTGCGTTTGGATTCGGAAGCTTCATTGCAAATAGAAACACAGGCGCACATCAAAATTGCTCTCGAAGCACAAGTCGAAACCATAATTCAAATTTGTCCAATACTAGTATCTTTTGATGATGACCGTCAAATTGGAAGGTACTTCTTCTTTATATGAAAATTCCTCGAACTCCTTTTATTGGAAAATTCCTAATGGATTTATTAGAATAGGCTGTGTTTTAATACTAGAACTACCGCGTACGTCATTTTGGTACTTTTTGAATTTCGATCTCCAAGCAAGTAGTTGTAATGCTGGTAATGTTGCAAAATTATTCGGTGACTTTTACTTAAACGAAAAGAACATCAGACATGTCGTTTGAATTATTTTCTACCTCTCCTAGTTTTCGAGATACTGATAACATACGATATCCTACGAAACATATCATATTGATGCCCTATCATCAAATATTGCAGATATGCTTGTGAGCCGTCTGCATACGCGACCACCATATATGAGAAATTGGAGAAGACTTTGCAAAAGGCGCTAATCCTTTGATATATAGTTTCGATCCTGCAATGATGTTGCGGAAAGTGTGCTACCTAGTTAGCAAGTGCGTCAAAACCGCTTGCAAAAATGGTTGCAACCGTTGACCGTTTGCTGGCAGGTCCGCAAATAACGCTAAATATTTAATTTCTTTTTATTTTGAATTTTTTTTGTAATTGGACGAAGAATATGCTAATGCACGGTACAGAACATTAGAAATAAATTGGAATCAGGATTTTATCGTTAATCTTTCGACTGAATGTTACGGTAGTCGTAGAGAATATGTGGAGCACAGGATTTGCGAAACATCTTCAAGAGATCAAAGGTTAGAGAAGAAAATATGAAAAAAAATGCAGAGGTTTTTTTCGACATTCTTTCAGGTTGTTTCGACAAGATAGATTGCAACAATTTTTGTTCTGACTGTGGACCTTTAACTGGTCAAAAATTGTTTGCGTCAAATTTCATCTTCTTTTATTCATCTTAGCAATTGTGGGTATTTCGCGAAAAAAGGCTATCGATATGAGATTGGCGTTCGCAAAACGCCGGCATTTCTAGTATTAATAAACACACACATGCACATATGTATGTAAATAAGTATATACAGAATATTTAGCTTTTGACAATTGCATTGAAAAAATTCATTTAAAATTTTTTTAAAATAGAAAAAATTCTATTCATCCTAAAATTTTCAAAATTCCGTTATTTATTCCTTCGATAAAAAAAAATTGTTTTTTTTGGGAAAATTTGCAATCGCGCACTTCAAAATTCAAAAAGAAAAAAAAAACGAAAAAAAAATTATCAATTGCTTGAGCAAATAATTAAATTAAAAAAAAGGGAAAAAGAAGAAGAAAATATTGAAACATAGAATGAAAATTTCAAAGAAACTGATCGGGCAAGTATTTTTGCTAGGAATAGTTGCCGGCCTACAGTATTGCGAAATATATTCAAGTGCGGAAAGCGATGTGCCACCGATGAGACACGATGACTGGAAGGATGTCCGTTTATGGCTCACATTCTTCTTGGGTCTGGCTTCGTATAGTTTTTTCAAATTAAAATTATATCGCACAGTTGCCAGATACTTGAAAGGGACATTTCAACGAAACGCATTTGTAAAACTGCTGATCATAAGTTCAATGATGCTGACCGTATTTTCATCGTTTCTGTTTGTATGGAGCTTGCAAAAGCACGCTATAATCGTACAACCATTAGCTACCATAAGCAAAATTTCAGATGTCCCTGAAGATCTCTACATAACACAACAAGATGTATTCGGGGATTTTGATAATGAAAAAGAAAACATTCAGTTACCAGTTGAAATCGATACATCACAGCCCGGAAATCCTGACAATTTGAATAGAAAAACAACTCAATCGCATTATGATGATTATGCAAAGATAAAAATAAGATTACGAAATGACGTTTCTCCAGCGTTAAGCTTGCCCAATGGCGAAATGGCGATGGAACGTGAGGTAAATTTTTCGCACTTGAATTTGCCTTGACTGTATTCTGCTTATTTTTTTCTTAAAAAAGATCAATATTTTTTAAATCGCCCGTAATCATAGAAATGGGGAACTGCTACCGTGGCTGAAATTTCATTTAAAATTAAGGATTTAATTTTAATCCTTTACGCTGTGCTCACCACTATTTCAATGACTGCTGTCGTGACATTTTACATCATAAAGTTCATCAATACTTTCAGCTAACTGTACGCGCTTAAATTACCGTAACGTATGCCATTTAAGCCATTTACTGTCTTAAATGTTGTTGGCATTGCGCTTCCATACCCTTTTGCAGCGTATATCTAAATGCATAGAAAAACTGTTGAGCTTTGAAAAGAATTAATTAAATTATGCAAACTACATAGCAGATTGAATAAAAGGAAAATTAAATCAGTAAACTAAATGGTATCTCTTATCAGCAATAAGCACAACTGTCACGTAGCTCCTTTAACGGTTTTAAAAATATCTAATAAAAGACTTATGACATGATATCTTTCGGTGCTTTGTTTATTTGGTATTCGTCTACTTGATATCGGGGATAGATCTCAACAGGTCGATATCGACTCCGCTTATCGCTTGACATGCAATGCAGACTTGATTGCACGTCCCCTACGAGAACTATTACTGTCTTGGCGTTCTGTCTCTTGGTGCATAAAAAGTTTTGAGGATTTTTCAAGTCGCTGGAACCTTGCTTTTCTTTCAAATGTTTAAATCGTTAATTATCGGAATATTTACGGGAGAAATTCGTAAGCTTTTCTTTACTAAAATATATTTAGACAAGGCCTTCCTTATACTTCTTTTATGCGATGAGGTCGCCTTACATCTAATTGCTAGGGCTTTATCATTCCTTTTCGAGGAAGCAGATCAGTTCATGTAGTTCGTGGCGATCTTTTTTAACAAACAAAAAGGTCGTGAAGTGGACAGACCTGTGAGATGGACCAATTAGTGAACTATTAAGAGATTGGTTGACAAAAAGGAAATTTTTGAGGATATTATAAACTATATCTTAAATACCTTGTCCGCATATATGAAATCAACAGACAAAGGAGAATGAAAAGAGACCATAGAGCTAAGCAATCTCCGATTGCCCTGTCTGTCGGATCGTGAGAAATATTTCTGACAAAATCTGCTTATTGTGGATTTTCACGAAATCTTACCTTCGTTTTGTCATGTTACGCATTGTTGCTTCTACTTAATAGAAGGTATATAAAATCAGTTATAAACGTCTACTCACTCGGCGCCTCAGCAGTTATGTCCGCAAAACGAATACAGAATAAGTGCAGGTGGTTGTGCGCTTTAGTATTATTATTATTATTATTATTATTAATTTCGCCAGAGAAATAAATTCTAAGACTAAACTCTTAAAAGCACTAGCATCTAAGGCTATCGGCTTTTTATTAAAAACTCTACCGCACTTGAGATTCGAACCCACGACCATTGACTTGCTAGTCGAGATTCCTCCCCTTCGGCTACTCAGGCGGATACGCTTTAGTAATAAGCAAATCATCGGTGAGATGACAAGGAATGAATGTGTCAAACGCGGAGAATGGCGTTGAAAATTTTACCGGCAACTAATTTAAAACGGCTTGGAATACTATTTCAACTCATCGCTATTCATCATACTATTTCAAATCATCTATCTATTGTTGCGTCGCCGACTCGTAAA